GCAAGTATTATTAAACAACTCCATGAAGAGTCGGCTTTGCAATGCAGGAATGGAAGAGCCTAAGAATTCCTTCTGTGGCCAGATTCAGCCTATGTTCCTGGATGATTCTTAGACTAAGTGTCTGCCTGAGCATAGTGTAACCCTACGAACTGAGTGAGCGCGCACGATCAAAGTGCATGCATGATTGGTTTGAATGAGGTTGTCGAATAACATTACTCTTCAACAGACTACACGACAACTACTCCACCTTCCCCCCAAACAAACCACTATCACTCAGCGATACATCAGAAGGAAACCACACATTGGTTTAATGTTCAAGAATTTTGCTATCAAAAATCCGCCGGTGTCATCAGAGGAATCACTTTCTCGTGATAAAACAAACATTTTGAAAAGAAATCATTCGCAGTTCATGGACAAAATACGACAATAAGCCAGCATTCACTTGCCAGCCTCCTCAATTCTCTATCGGCATCCTCGAACCCCTCTTCTCCCCACGAGAACCACTGACAACAAGGATGAAGTTCAGTTAAGATTTGAGATCTTGCTTCCGTATCAAATCAGCATATTTGTCGTCGAGTTCGATCAGTTCTTGATGCGTTCCGTGCTCAGACACTTTGCCATTCTCAACAAAGAAAATCTGATCAACGAACTGGATGGAAGAAAGACGATGTGCAATAGTTATGCATGTTCGACCAACACTTGCTTGATCGAGTGCTTGTTGAACTGCCTGAATAGAATAGAATAATTTAATCTTACAAAAATCGAACGTTACATAACAGAGACACGTTTATGCAGAAATTATTCATAAAGAAAGGGAATAATCCGCAATCAGCAACAAATAAGTGAGTACGCGTTGACACAATCGCATATCAATACAATACATGTGTAATATTAGTCAGGATCTGTACAGAGTTAGAAATAAATTTTGAACTATAAACGACTTCTGCCCAAATTTATCATCCTGATAGCAACTGTCTACTGCATTCCACACACTTATCACTCGAATGCGGGTAAAGACTACGTACGGTGACAAAATTTGAGTGATTTCATCCTCGAATGATGCAAAAATGCGTTGGGCAGAAATTGATAAAATTATTTCATCGAATACCCGTTCACTATCAGCATCCAGTGCGCTAGTCGCTTCGTCAAGGAGCAGTATTGTCGGATTCCTGACAAGCGCTCTCGCGATTGCGATCCGTTGTTTCTGTCCTCCAGACAGCTGCGCGCCACGCTCACCAACCTCAGTTTCGTATCCCTGCAATACGTGAATAACGACACTACACTTTACAATTAGTATTAGATGGCTTGTAAAAAATATGAGAACGATCAAATGTCTTTCATTCCCTCAACAGAATCTTTCGAAAAAGTATTGAAAGTTAAGGTGCTGATGAGACTGACAATTTATTCCTCTCTTAAGCCGAATTGTGACATGTTTGTCAATTGAGCATGACACATTCTAATCCTGGTTGAAACTCAGCATAAGCTGTTGATAAGCAGCCATGCTCTGTGCTCAAAGGAGTGCTGACAAACCATTGGTGTTGCTTCGATGAACTTGTGTGCATTTGCCATCTTACAAGCAGCTCGTATGTCGTCGATCGTTTTTCCTGTCGTACCCAACAAAATATTCTCGGCTATGGTACCACTCAGTAAGGCCGCTTCTTGTCCAACCAGCGCCATATGCTCGCGTAAATAATGCAACGACATATCATGCACTGAACAACCGTCTATTGTCTGCAAATCCAACATCGTTATGAATGAACACAACTATCGAACCAGTCTGAAGACTTGCAGTCAGTGTGCACTTGCTTATTCCTATCACAATGGCTTTCTCATTCACGATTGGTTGCATCTTGTATCGAGCGCTTCAAGTAATCGGTGAGGCAGATGAGTAATACTCTGCCAATGTTCAATAATTAAGATAATATGCTAAAAGGTGAGTGTGAAATATAATATGTAGTATATCTTGAAACAAATTCTCACAAGAGATTCGTTAGCCTTATTGAAAAAAACAAACAAAACAACGAATGTATCAGTGTTTCCAGAAACGAAACGAACCAAATCTCCATCGTTGTACTGATAGAAACGTTCCAACAATGCTATCACTGTAGTTTTACCGCTACCCGATGGCCCAACAATTGCGATTGTTTGACCCTGTAAAAAATGATGTTTGATTAGTACGAGGAAATAATCTATGCTTCTTGATGGGAAAGAAACTGTGAAGTTTTAATTATGAGATAGTAACGCTTTCCGTTCAGACGATTATCACATACCTTTCGTGCTGTTAACGACAGTCCATTTAAGATCTTCTGATGTGGCCTCGTCGGATAGGAGAAACGAACTTTTTTAAGTCTTGTTTCACCACTGATGCTCTAAATGGATCATGAAAAACAATAGCACGCTTTAATGAGAACAATTACATTCTAGAATGATGATAAAATTCAGTTCAAAAATGGCTTTTAGTTCACATCGCATATTTTTTGTTATACTTATACGTAAGGTTAGATTATTTCACCATAGTCAATTACTGTACATTTCAGCAAGATTAACAGCAATCGTGTATTTCAATGGATACGTTTCAATGGAACCGTCTATTTTCATGGAGTAAACTCTAGCAGAAACTTACTGGACGCAATCCAGCATCAATCTCGCCAATTACACTTTTGGCATTGATGATGCGGAAAAGAGAATCAGACGCGGGTGCAGCAAGAATAAATGTATTAAGGCAACCGGACACCATGATTAATGCCCAGCCACCTGTTGTAATTGCTAATGCTGCCCTGAAAACTGATCATTCGAACATGTAAATACCCTCAGATTCAGTTTAACTGCTCAATCACAACGTGGACTGAACGAAAGGAGTGAACACTACGATATTACAAGGATAACGAACAATTCTGAGCATTCTCTTATTCACACAAACTGTTTCGAGGAGTCAGGTACGTAGAAGTGAGAGAGTGCTCGATCGCATGAGTGATTCAAAAACTGACGTGAAAATATGATTTGGTGTTGCGAAGCCGTGGTATATGAGTGGAATACCAAGCGCATAAGAAGCCATATCTGAGAAGTACATAAACGATGAGGTGACTGCGAACAGTAACGCCTCGCAAGGAGCACTCTTTTTTTGGTACTTCAAAACGTTGCGTAGTTGGTGATCATACTCCGAATGGAAGTACTCTTCTCTAGTTATCAATTGTATTGTTCGCACTTGTTCCACTATTTCGATCGCCAACTGAAAATGTATAAATGAGTTCTCACGAAAAAAGTAATCGTTTGAATATATACTTATTGTTAAACTGGAAGATAATTGTGTTCGAAATGGAACTTGAAAATCTTTTCAGTGAGCCGAAGAAACGCGGATTCTAGAATGAATTATGTAGAACGGAAGTGGAATTATGAATTATACCTGTCCGGTGAGATCATTACTAATTGCCAGATCGTTATAATGTTGCATTTGATCGGCAGCTAAATACAGACCTATGATGAGAGCAATGAAGCATGTCAACCCCATTAATCCTATCTCCCATGAGAATGCCAGTGCCATAACGACACATGCAATCACAGCCGCAAAATTACTGACTATTTGCATCATTCGTTGATCTAAGGCCTATAAGCACATTTATCGTTGTTCAAAAACATGATTATTTGTTAAGCAGATATGCCTAGTTGATGCGTGACGATATAACGTCTGAAAATAATCAACTAACAGCTTTGATGTTAGGTGCATCCGTTGATATTCTTGTGACGGTAACTGCTTGACTGCGATTTGGATCATCGAAATATGACGCGTCTTGATAGAGGACATTACGCAACGCACGAAGCTTCAACGAATCAACAACACTTTCAGCAGTCCATCCACAACTGATTGTCTTCAAAGGATCCTCGTTTTTAATAGAATTTGAGTGGTGAAACTTGCCACAGAATCGTTTTCCGTTTACTTCTGACGTTATACGTAAAAATAGTAAGTTCTTATATCGGGAAGGGGGAAGGTAACGGCAACCTGCCAGATCATCAAAAGGGGGAATGGAGCACCCGAACGTGAGAACCACTGTACTAAATAATTTAGTCAATTGATACAAATCGCTACGAGATGATGAATATTTAAAAGAAGTGCTGTGTTGCTTCGGTTAACTTATTCAACGCTTGCGAGAATTGGACGTGTTATCAAAGCAATAAATCTTACTGCCGCAAATATTGCAACGAGACAAGCGATTCCAAGTGCAACAGCCATGATTAGCACGACAAGAATTTGCTCCATCATCGAGTTCCCATCGTCTAACGAGAAGCCATTGAACGCAAATTCAAACATGAGCGCATAGGCTGGTAATTCCATACCTCGAATGATGGACATTAAAAATGCACTGATTAGTTTACCGTAATGCCCATCAGCATTCGTATACACCTGCCATAAACCCTTTCGTTGTTTCATTTTTGCCTGCAAAACGTTTATCTCATGTGCTGAAAATGGACTGGAGATCATATACAATCTACAGCTCAATACGGTTCACTTTTCTTGGTATAATAACCTTGTTGCTGCTGACTGAAATCTCCACCTCACCATCTTCATTCCTCTCTTCGATGACATTTGAAACAGCGGTAGACTTGGCTGTTCGAGAGGAATTCGTGAAACTGCATCGTGCGAAATGGGATGACGATATGCTTGAGACTGATATCTGGTGATCAGATAACTGTTTATGGCTAGAACAAATGCGAGTGAATGATACAAACGTCGATTATTATTGTGGTGAGCTTTTTGATTGCACTTTTATCTAGTCGCTTGATGAATGTTTGATTTTTAGGTGGATAAGATTTACGTTCAAGCTTTGTTTTAGGCTCTGCATTGAACTCAGAGGTGATATCCAGGATTAAACGAATGATTGAGCGCCTTTGATTGAATAAGATTAGATCTAACGAATGTTGTAAAATAAAATCACGAAAATACATCACAAAACATACTGAATTCAACAAATTTATTACCAACCGTCTCAGTGCGAGATTAAAACCGGATTATACATTTATATAAAGTGTACATTTACTGTCAGATTCACTCGCAAAAAATTACAACCTTGAAGTTCACGAGCGCAATCTGCTACTGTCACCAGCGTAACGATCAAGTGAAAAGGGCGATGAATTTCTGGCAGTTGATTTTCTGCACTAATTTAGAGCACCACCCGTAATAAGCAATGCAAGCGCTTCTCATTCATTCTCTCAAGAGGAATGTCGAAATCCCAATGTACTTACTCAGCTCTTTGAATTGGAATCGACACTTCATCAGACCTAGTCAACGATCCTTTTTTAGCAGCTTCTTCTTTGAATTGCTGAGATCGTACAAGAGCCGCATACATCCCATTTTCCCTTTCTGCTAGCTGCTTGTGAGAACCTATCGATATTCTCAATTAGGTTCACTAAAGTATTAATCAGTTTTGCTGAATCGAATAGCTAATCTCATTAATAAATCATGTATTTGATTAATTCAATTTAAAGCGTTTCAAAATTTTACAAAAGCAAACAATATTCATCATAAGTTTTTGTTAAATGTATTGGACATTAAAATTAATAAAAAGCGAATCAAAATAACCTCTTTTTGGACCATATCAATATGAAATGGCATCTTATTAAAAGTGATAGCTTACTGGCGTTCGAAAATGTTTTCCTGTTAAAGAATTTAGTACAAACAGTCGAAGACGCTATAGCGTTCGACCGAATGACGGGACGTGCTAAGGAACGTCAATAAGAAAGAATTTTATCCACAATAGTTAGCATGAGCACCCAGAAAAAAAAGCGTTATAGAATGAACATACCGATTTCGGCGACTTTTCCTCGATCCAAAACAATCACTCGGTTCGCATCACGTAGTGTTGAAAGACGATGAGCTATTACTATTGTGGTACGCCCAACAGAGGCCTGAAATTTTTGCCTGTACAACTCCTACATTATTCAGCAAATATTGTCTTCTCGATGACGACAAGCGATAAAAATATTGAAATCATAGATAAAACCTATCAACAATTACTATTAAAAAACGCCCATTGATTACCAATTTCAAAAACATACAAAACTGTTGCAGGCATCACTAACGTAAATAGTACAAGCTAGTGTGGTACGAGGACGGAAAAAAGTCGGGGATGGGGAAAATCGTGGACGAAATTTTCCAGTCGGGGACCCCGAAATGTGGTCGGACCAAAAAAAGTCGGGGACGGGATCCTCAAAATTCTTCGATGCTCGCACCACACTGGTATAAGCTCATCAAGAGTTTCTTATTCATTATACGCGTTCGAATTTTAATAAACATTTTAAGCCATCTGCTGTACCAAATCAACTGAATTTAAATTTGTTAACTGTGAATATCGTGGAATTTGACGTGCATGTAATATTGATCACAGAATATCTTGATGCTCTCCGATTCAACTCAATTATGGACTAATAACCTTTTTGAGAGCATTTTGTACAATTATTTCACTTTCAGCATCCAGAGCACTTGTTGCTTCATCAAGAAGCAGAATTTTTGGATTCCTCGCTATCGCACGTGCGATCGCAACTCTCTGTTTCTGACCACCTGACAGTTGTACCCCACCGGCTCCAATCGAGGTTTCATAGCCCTTAACGAGGAAGCTTCATCCAATGAATTGATAAGCAGTGTAAAGTCGAGAGCATTATGTTTGGAGAAATGGCAATGAGAGAGAATAAAGCAAATGAACCATAGCGAGTTTTTCAATAAAGTCGTGGGCGTTTGCCGTTTTGCAAACTTCAATAATTTGCTGATCAGTTAGGCTCGGATTCCCCAAGCGAATATTTTCGTTAATTGAACCATTGAACAACAAAGGTTCCTGCAAGAATAAATAATCGCGAGTGCATTGCCCAACAAAAAATATGCATTAATTATAAAACTCTATCGAATCACTTCAAAGATCAGTACTTCCTCGCTCTAATTCTAAATAAAAATCACCTGCTGCACAACACTAACAATATTCCTCAGCCAATCGATATTGAATTTTTTAACATCGACACCATCAATGCTTATTTCACCAGATAAACTTTCATATAAGCGAGTTATAAGGCCAATCTGTAAGGTTAATTATGACCTTCAAATTGATTTACTTTGAATTAAACATTAAAGATGTGCTAAAAGAATGAAGGAGAGCGTAACATGCCGATGTGCTCTTCCCACATCCACTATGACCGACCAACGCAACCGTTTCACCCGGAAGTACTCGCCACGAGAGACCGTTAAGAATTGACATCTTAGGTCGTGTTGGATATGCAAAATGAACATCTTTGAATTCAACATCTCCCAGCACATTCGACAGCTTCACGCCATCTGCTGACGTACCATCAATTGGGCTGATCTACAATTATCATTCAGTACCGAATACACGAGAGGATGTCCATCAGAGTAAACACCTGAACTGTTCCATCAATTTTTCATTGCCAACTGAGTACCACACTTCATTGAAAGAAATATTTGAAACACGGGCAATCAAGAGTTGATCATTCGTTCAGAAATAATAGCAGTAATTCATACTCTGTCAATGGTTCGATAAATGACAGCTGCGGCAACTCGAGCGTTCATCATAGCCATTAAATGTGGACTAAGCACTCCCAAATAGTAAGATCCAAATTGAATTGAATTTGCGACAATGAAAACTGAACCGGGGTCGAGAACGATGTGAATTTTGTACAGATAAGCACCATAGCTAGAAAGATTCTTACTGATTCGTGCTATGAACGTTTTAAGAAACTATACTAACAGAATATGTGCTAGCAAGTTTACCAAAGTACACAAAAAAAGAAGTTCACATCCAATCGAACATCGTTATTATTTCATATTTTTTGTCCTGAGAAGCACCTTACTAAATCCAGCACATTAAATACTACTTATGCTGCTCGCAAATAAATTTCTTGAGTATGTGAATAAATACGAGGAAAATGCTAGGAAAGGAGGAATCAAGTAGAATAATAATAATAATAAATAAGTGAACGATAATAAAGAAACGCCAATGCTTACTAAAATCCAGCAGCAAAAAAGATGTACATAGCAACGAAGAAAAGGCCATCGAATAAACCGGCAAAAGCGTATATTTTTAGAGCATATTTACGACCTCGGGATAACGCTTTTGCATAACGTTCAATGACCGTTTCTTGACCATTACATGCAGCTATTGTTTTCACATTCATTATTGACTCTTCCACTATTGCACCCGCATGCCCAGCAGCTTCCATTTGTTGGACGGATGCTCGATCGACCAACTGAATAGCAATCAAACCGACATTTATTCAGGAATCAAAAAAAATTGCAAATTCCGAGTGGATGAGGAATGAAAATTCATTGAATGAAGAATTACAAAGAGAAAAATGGAATGATTTCACTGAAAATAATTATAAAATTCGACAGAGTCTACTGAACGCAACACCACGAGTATGCAGCGGGCATCAAAGATGTGTGCAAAGTGCAAGTAAGTCTAAGACGTACTCGAGCCATTGAAGACATCAATGCTGCAGATACAGGTCCCATCCCAATCAGAACGACAGTGATCCTCCACTCATAGATTAAGCCAATCACAACACATGTTATGAACATTATCACACCACGCAATATTAATCCAATCTTATCGCCAATTCCGTCCTTGATCTTGTCGATATTTCTGCAATAAATGAGCGCAAAATGTGCATTTCATAGATCATGAAATCAGTAATTCTCAAATTATCATCAATTCATTCAACGTTGAACATAACTTATTCGTTTGATTACTGCTAAAGGGACTCAATTAGGAATCATGAACAGTTCACATGATACCGTCCAGTGAATGATGTGCCGATAGGCGAAAGTATCCGTTGAATCGAACATCATTTAAGCAAACCTTCCCCAATGTTCTTCCATCTACTAGGAATTATTTAAAGATGGATGAACGATTAGTGTGACTGCCTGCAGTTTGTTTTTTTTTCATTCGCTTACTCATTGAGTCGGGAAGTAATTGTGCCAGACTTTTGTGAATCGAACCATTGAGCGTTTTGACGCATTAACGATTTCACGTATTCGCTACGAATATTACAAGTGATATTCAGAGATGCGTATTTGAAGCATAGATACTGCAATTATTCAATTTTGTGTTTGAAACCTGAATAGTTGGAAATGTTCAAATTGCATTCAGTTCCGTATGAGCAACACCGTAAAGCACTTTGTTTCGAGTATCGAACAATTTCGACAATGGCAAATTTTAAGATGCTTATGAAATGCAATATAAAATGCAAAAAAGTCGGCATAACTTCAATTACTAGTGATGTTTCTGTTCCACAAATTTGGCAAATTATTATATTCTATTCTATTCACCTCTTCAATTTCCTTGTTCCGTTCTATTCTTAATTTTTGTTTTTTGAAAGCTGATCTGCTTCGCTCCCGCACGTGAAAATTTCAGAACTGTTCTGTTTTGTCACGTTGTACGTTTTAAACTGTTCCGTTCTATCCTGCTTCTGTTTCCTCAATATAGTGGAAAAATTTCAAAAATTATTTAACGTTTATATTCATAACACGTTGCCTATGTATACATGAGAGTTCGTGGCACTATCACATGAGCATGATAAGAGAAAAACCAGTGCCAAATAATTTGCGAAAATTTGCGTAAAATGAATAAATATCGTATACGTTCACTGCTCTCGTTAACGAAATAAAAGCCCACAGTGTCTCCTCGCATCGCGATATCGCTCTCGTTCGTAAAACTAATTTATCTAACAGTTCTCCACAAAAAATCCCCATTGCTTGTGCAATCAGCATTAACAGCGTCTTTCTTACGCCGTTTCACCCAATTTAACAGCAATAATTCATCGTCAAAACCTAGTTGTGAGAAGTTTGAGTGATCGACTCCATAAGTCGCTTGGGACCGTCAACAGATGAATTTAATACAGCGATTCAAATTGATTTCGATAGAGGAGCGTTGGTAAAAAAATTTGTGCACAAGGTAATGCTGACTGGAAAAAAGTTGGGAAACACTGATCTAGAATGTACTGATTAGTTCAAGCCGACTCAATTCTTCCAGGCATAAACTTTTGTTGTTGGCGTTAAATGTAGATCGTTTCTGTTCCTGGAGTTTAGAGTATGATCAGCAACTGAGCAAGATCCACTTATAATAATAAAAATACTAATGATAACAGTGATAGTAGTAACAGCAATAATAATGACAATAATAATAATAATAACGATAATAATAAAAAATTTTAAAAAATTAATAATAAATAGTAATAAATAATAATATTGCAATAATAAAAAATTGATAATAAACAGTAATAAATAATAATATTGCAATAATAGCGTTGGTAAAAAAATTTGTAATAATAATTAAGTAATCGTAATAATAATAATAACAGTAATAAAAATGATGCCACAGCGGTAACACAACTCATAATCATTCTAATACTTCACGGAGAACAGTTTGAGGAACAGTTAAAGTCTGTTCTGTTCTGTTCCACCTTGTGGACTGCTCTGTTCTGTTGCTTGAAACCGAACGGGAATAGAACAGTTTGACTGGAACAGAAACATCACTAGGACGAGGTACGAAATGGAAAATGCACTCTTGAATACCTGTATAACGGTAGTTATGACCATCACCACACCAAGAGCTGCATACATGTACACATTGAAAAAAGCTTCATTCCAAAACGTCTCGTTGTTTTTGAACTGAAAATTCACAGAAGATTCGATGAAAGTGATGATTACTCAGAAGTTCACTTCATTTTTTTGATAGCATTCAGCAAAAACATGATTAAAACTTGATGATAAATGAAAATTGACGAATGCTTATACTGAGTCGTCACACAAAATTGCGTTCATTTCCTTACGACTCATGTTGTGTTATTGTTGATCTAGCGAGCATTTCGGGTGTAAGCGTCGTATCTTTTAAAATGTGCTCTCATGAAAATTATTGGCAACAATAATATAGCAATGCTTATGCTCAAATATTGACCTGTTTAGTTTTCAGTAAAGTATTGGTAAGACGACCGCCAATCAACACGACCAACGGTTGTCCAATACCGCATAAAACGGCCAGAATTATCGAAACGGTGATAAGAATTTTATCGGAAAACGATGCAAAGCGGAACTGAAATCAAAGAACAATCATTCGAAAATCTTGAGACTTGGAAATGTGCCTGCCTACTAGAGCAATCAAAATATTCTTCAAACACCCATGTAATGCTTTTGTACGAGCAGCAAAGGTTTCTTCTTGGTGATTTCAATGAATAGAAGACAGTTTTGACATTATCAGTTAGGCTTCATCATCCGTTTATGTTAATTGATCTCCTCTAGTTACGTCCAGGAAACAAGTTGCATGCAATGCAGTTCAACCCAACAAACGTTTGCTATCAATCCGTTGCGGTAATGAAAACGACTCACCAACTTCAAAAATGATATTGGCGGTGCTTCGAGTTTTTGCTCTGCGAAGTCTCCTCTGAAATTGCAATTCTTGAATTGTCTCCAACTCTTAACAACCACAGTGTCTTAAAGAGGAAAGAAGCGAGTGAATACAACGCATCAACTATACTAAACCATCGCGCTTGATAATTTATTTGTGAGTTTATTCAGCTCTGATCAGCTCTTTTTGAGTGTTTTTATAAATGAATTTCGAAACGACAGTTTATAGGAGAGAAATTGCGCAAGCAGTCATACTCACAACGCTTCCTTTGAGGGTTTCGTTTTTGCACGTTTGAAAATTTTAACCTCACATCAGAAAGAAATTCAAATATTTAAAACAATTTGACTGACAGTGAAGCTCTTTCGAGATTTTTTTTCATGCAAAAATTATCGTATCACGCTCGCTGCTGCATCGGCAAACAAACCTGCACAATAGAGTACTTATCAACTTATCAAAAGCACTTTGCTCATATTCTTGACTGACGTCTCTCTCGTCAGAAGCATTTTCATTGTAGTTGTTCACATCACTCATGGTAGTCTCTATCTGAAAAATTATTCAAATGACCATGATGAAATGGCTGAAATTTGCTGCTATTATGTGCAATAAAATCGAATAAATTTCTCTCAAAAAGCATATTGAATCAAAGCATCGTACGACGCATTGTTATTGAAACAACTGCACCAGCCAATAAACAGCCTATAATATAATGGCATATGAGAAGTTAACCTTATTTGTAGCAAACGAGTCTCGAAAAAAGAAAAGATGAAGAAATGCGAGCAATATCACGTGAGGCAATTTTTGCGTGAAAGGTAGGGAATAAGTTTGAAATGCTCGAAATGAATATGAACGTTTTCATGTGAACTCAACGATAACGAAACCCTTTTCACTTTTGCTTATTGTTAGATAACGGTTACGCTTTTGTTCACGTGAGTAGCGTTCAACTGATAAAAACTGTTATTTCCGTCATGAAATATAAAAAGAATTGATCAAATAGTTAGAAACTGTGACTAATTCAATATTCAGTGTTCATTTTGTACCTCAGCGATGCTTATCTGAACTTGTGACTCGTTGTGAAGTTTCAGTGTGGTAACTATAGGTATTTCTGTTCCACTCGAACTATTGTATTATTGTTCTGTTTCCAGTAATCAAACAGAACAGTCTCAGAGAGGATGCGCAGAACAAAACAGTTTGAATTTTTAGAGTGCGAGAACAGATATCAAAAAGAAGAGTGGAAAACAGAACAGAACAGTACAGTTTAAACGATAAAGCAGAATAAAATAAAATATGAACGTGGAGAACGCAACAGAACAGCTGAACAGAACGGAAAAATCTGTCAAAAGTGTGGAACAAAAACGTCGTTAGTGGTGATGACAATTCTGTTTAAATGTGACACGTTCATGAATAAAGTATGAACTGCTTCCTATTTGATGGCTGCATTTTGGGTTTGACTGTCTCATCGGAACTGCAAATCAAGGATTGGATTGTTATTCAGTCAAGAACTCGGTCAAAAAGCCCGATCAGACATCACATCGTCATTTCGATTTCAATTTTTGTCCCATAGGATGCTTTTACCAAGAGCTAACTCATGCTATCGTTAACTACTGTATCTGATATGTTTGCCAATGATCCAAAATGTTTCCCAAATACAATCTAGTAATCGTAGGAAATGCAAGTCTAGCTGAATATTAGCCTCCACTTGTTGGCTGTTTCGTCTTTGCCTGTAGTAAGCAAAATTATCCCTCGTTGATAGATAACAATCAGTTATTTGCTCCAGTGACCTAGTTACTAGCACGTAGGAAATAAATCTCAAATGCTGGAAATTAGCATGAGAAAAGGTAACCGAGTGAATACATTAAAACTTGGTGAAACAGAGATAACACATTGAAAGTTCCACATTAAATCATGGGTCTACAAGAATGAAATGTGAATCATGAGTAAGGACCGAATTATGAAATTGTATTAGAGACGGAGGGGGAGCAGCGATTGTCGAGATCAATTCTTGCTGAAACCGGTTGGTTAATTTATTCGATCATACAGATTGCGATTACTTTAAGCATTACGAAAAACTGCATCAGCGTTGTATATGCACAAATAATCCCTTGAAAGGTTTTAAAAATCGAGTTGGAATAGCGCTGGGTACGAATGCATGAAAAACGACAGCATAAGGCACAGAAATTAAGGTAAGTAAATGCATTCGCGATGCAAAAAATATGAACTGTTTGGGAAGCAATCTAGGTTCAAACGCAAATTTCATTTATTGCATAGCTGCGATCAACATACTCAAAATGCTGCGTCAAGTGATTTCTATGCCAGCAGTCTCCATTCTCCTTTATTTCACATTCGAACCGATCGCCTTACAGATAGACTCTAGAATAAGCGAGTGTCCAAAAGTATGATGAGCAACGACCTAAGTTAAACAGAGGGTGTGATATTATATTACAGTTCACGGTTAATTGACGTGCGTATTTATAAATAATAAAACGTGAGTTGGTGTCATCTTCAGTGATGCTTTTGTTAGTTTTGTGTACTTTAAGAGGAGCATTTCAACCGCTCAATGTGTTATTGAAAACGAGTAATGGAGTCAATCCTTTATTCCGTTATTGGTACTTCCGTGCTCAACTTTCGAAGTTGCATTAGCTGCTTTTTGGTGGCGTTCTCAAATTGCAGAGAGAGATTTGTGTGAAAAGCAGAAAGATTCAGGGATGAAACGTATGCATTCTTTGCCTCCGTGTGTTTACTCATGACTGTGGAACGTTACTGTTGAGAACGATTTGGTACCGTTAGCTGTCAGCCTTTCATCACACTGCCTTAACTTGCTAACGAAGCTTTTTCCATTAGTTGTGCCAACATCTAGTTGCGATCACTGAATGGAAAATGTTCAGGCAAGTGCACAACAACGTCAAGTTTCATTACACTTAAAATTCATTTGGATATCAATCCTTGAATAACTACATTCGTTCATATGCAAGTTGGCATGTGACACTGGAATCAAACATATTTCGGGTAATCGTTTACGCATCAAAATGGAAATCAAAGATTTTCAATGCTTCATACAAATTAATAGCATTTTAACAATGACAACATGAAAGTAATTTGTTCAATTAATCATAACACAATCGTAACGCAATGCTGACTGAATATCTCATCTTCAACCTTTTCAATTTTATCTAGATTAATATCGACATTCGATGAAAACTACTGTTTTGTTCTAGTTTTTTTTTCACTTATACGTGCGAAATTTTTCTTACGGTTGGTTTCTAGAGAACGGAAAAAGAAATATAAGTAAGGATTCAGATTAATGTTGGACAAAATTAGGTAGAAATGATTACTCAGTTGACTACAGCGAAACATGAAAATCAAGCGAAACTATAAATTCTCATTGGTTTATCCATTGACTTTGAATTTTACTATGAGCGGAACCAATCGCTGAAATGCGGAAAACAAGGTCATGTGAAAAGAATTTATTGAGTTCCAAAATTGCAATTATAGTTCTAAAAACTATACGAAGCAACGATTACTTTTTCAAATGATTTCTCCTTTGCATGGGTTCGATGAATAGTGAGATAGTTTTAACGGGTTTCTTTTAAGAATATTTCAGTTATTTCCTACGTGCATTTCAAAACATACAGTATCTCCAATATGCTAACTCTCGAACTATATGAGCATCTTTTTCTTCTCCTTTGAAGTTCACTCAATGAAATTCCAATGAAAAAATTTTTAGGTTACATTACATGTAACTCGTTTCATCCGGAACAAATTTCGTCGCAACATTATGAACATAAATATTGTACCGAAGCCGTTTAGTCGATTGAATGAGATAGATGAAAACATTAAAAATTATCATGTGAGAATAATGTCGTTTCTAAGACTATAATCTTTCGATGATCATTCCAGCTGCGCCCCCTCCTCCGTTGCAAATTGCCGCTAAGCCTTTCTGGCCAGGCCTTAGTACATTCAGCAGATGAACGATAAGTCGGGCACCGGACATGCTGCAAAGCAAGCAATCATGTTCATTGTTGAAAATTAAGTTTCCCATACGCGACTGAAAGTCAATGAGAATGAATATTCAACGATTAAACAGATGTTTCAGTGGAAATAACATGGACATTTTAAGAATATGTCGGTATGTAAAGCAACTAACCCAATTGGATGTGCAAAGGAGATTGATCCACCATGAGCGTTGACCTTATCGGGATCTAATTCGAAATGTCTTATGGTCAGAAGGGGTATGATTGCGAATTGATCATGAATTTCAAAGAGATCGATATCGTTTATGCTCAATCCAGCCATCTCAAGAACCTTTAATAGTCATTCTCTGTTATTTTTCAAGAAACCAGGCACTCGAGAAGAAATGCAATGCAGCACCGGGGAAATTGGAGACAACTTCATTAAAATCATGCATTGCATGCTACAAGTCTTCGAGAACGACACACAGTGTGGATAACGAGTAATAACCATCTAGCAAAACATGCTATCAGTAGCAAACTATTGGAGCATTTTCACAATTCTCTGCTGCACAAACCTGAGGGTATTACAACCTAATGAATAGCGAGCATAACACCTATCAGATGTATGTAAATCTGCACGGATTCAATCACAGTGCTTTCTGTAATAAAAAATCTACAAAAAATCCCAGTCCGACACACCCTAGGAATGACCAGAGCTGGTGCAACAGCAAATTCGTCAGGATCTGTGGCAGCATCAGCAACTGATAAGATTCGAGCTATGGACGGAATGTGATGCTCTTCAGCCGCTTTTACCCTTGCCATGATAACTGCAGCTGCTCCATCACCCATCGCAGCCATATTACCCATTGTAATTGTGCCATCTAGAACCGACTGAGACATAGTCTAATAAATTTAACTTGTTTCGTTATTATCAACAAATAAAGCGCACTTCCGCCAAGTAATCAAGTCAAAAAAGCAATCAAACCAAGCATAATGGTCATAAAACAAATGAAAATCAATAGAAAGACAAAAGTGATGGCGAAATTACCTTCACTAAATGCTGATTTGAGCATTGGTACTTCATGAGTATTAATTCTGCCAAGTTGTTCGTCTTTGTCAAAAATTATCGTCTGTTCATTCTGTTCTACTTCGATCGGAACAATCTCATTAGCCATTATACCGTCCTAAACTGTTAAATGAATATGGACTAAGACCAGAAGTAAACTTATTATAATATCAATTTAAGAAAGTGGATCAACAGGATTACAGAGATCTTCATTATGACGAAGCTTTGACGAAGAAAGTATTCAATAAAAACTAAAAAAATCCAACGATGAAATGAAGATAGAAATCGCCTTTGCGATCGCATATGAAACGATTTGAGTACTTGCATGACATGACACAACGGACCGATTAAGACATTGCTAAATTGGCTGCACATCTTTATTGGCATCAAAAAATGAACCATCAAAACTCACTCTCCACGCAGTAATCGCTCTATCATAATCGATAACCACATAATCGTCCTGTTCCTCCCGTGTAATACCATATTTTTTCGCTACTTTATCAGCACAAGCTCCAATATGCATATTAGCATAAGGATCCATCAAAACATCTTGTTCAATGCCATCCTACATTATCAATTACTAAATGTCATCCGAAAGCTGCTATATTTCTTATATGTTTAAAAACCGGCAATTATTTCAAATGGCAAATGACCCCCAATATTCTACTGAAAGTCACTGTTTGACATATCTAACTTGTGAAATCACTACTTTCACATCCAAAGTCTCGGGCTTATCAAAAGCCGATTAACATTACGCGTTGATCTCGATGCCGAAAAAAATTTCATCCATCCCGTAAAACGAATTCATTCAAACCGCATAAACGCTGGGAGTGAGATTTTGCGATTTTCTTGAACTTTACTCCTGGTCATGCCGAAAGTTGAGTCAAGGAACAATTGCCATGAAGAAATGTTTACTTACAGCTATTTTAATGCCTCCATATGGAATATCCCCTCGCTTCAGAAAGAAAGGCACTCTACTCATGTTCTCCATACCAGCACCGATGGCGAACTGAAAAAGCACTGACTTACAATCATCTGTGAATGCTTAATTCATTCTTTGAAGTTTCGTTTAGTACTTTGCAAAATCTTCCGTTTGCAAAATAACGCCATATCAAAATCGTAAATTGTGCATAACACTTTTCGGAACTCCCCTCAAAATACTGCTTTCAAAAGCGATATGCTCAAATCAGTTAACTTCTATCTTGACAAATGAATGAGTATTGAACGATAGTGTCAGTTAAACAAATGAGACGACAGCAATACGACCATACGGTGAGGTGCACGAAATATTGTTTCAGCAGAGAACAAAGAAGCATCGTACATCTTGGGCGCCTAACTGAAGATGCTCTGCGGCTAGCATGATCGCTTTCATTCCCGATGAACACATTTTGTTTATCCCAGTCGCAACTGATGAAACATCCAGTCCTGAACAATCAACTTATCGATGAGCTTAATTTGCAGTCGGAATACATTTATTTGCACGAATCTCATACAGATGGCATCGTCTTCTGTTCATCATTCAATCTCAACTGCGTTCCCTTCAATTCAATTGGGATATACAACTTTGAACTGAGAAGGTCATATGTAACCATAAAGTTGTTCTACGATTGACTGAAAGGCAACGGACGAGCATGTTTACGGATGTTAAACAATTAAGCAACCGCCAATGAAGCGATTAAATAGCCAACAAAAAGTTGAAGCTGTAAACGTCCACACTCAACATCACCCCTTTGTCGATGAGGGTCGCATTCTCACTGGAACACCGATGGTGTAACCAAATAGCTAGAAGTTCACTGAATGAATGCAACATTTCTAACCGGCACCAAGAATTGCTTGACGAGCTGGCGCTGGACCAGCATTAGATGGAATCGATACGCCAACAAATGCCTGAAATTTCCATGCCTACGGAAATTTTTCTGTACTTTCGAAATCTCCACTGGATACTGAAATTTTATTGCTAAAGTATACGAAACGCATAAAGCCTTACAAACATTCAATTGGTGTGAACAAACAACATGAAGTTAAACGAACAGACCTCTTGGATTATTGATGGTTTAATGCCAGCTTTCTCAAGCGTTCCATAAATTGCTGCTGCACCCAGTCCGGTTACTGGTAGTTCGCTCAGCTTCGAGCGGAATGAACCTATCGGTGTTCGCAAACCACCACAAATCACCACATCCTGTATGAAAGCGGATGAACTTTCGATTGGGTTTTTGAGGATTGATTTAATAAACAATTATCATGATACCATCGAAATGCGAATGTGAATGTCCGTTGGTTCGAAGCACTTCATATTTGAATATGAGCTAAGAATTTTGATAGCAAAAAAAATTGTTCCCTAAAAGAACACAGAATACGGTGTGCAGTCGTCGAATCGCACCTTGAACATTCCACAGCTTGCGGACATGGAGAAAGCTCTCGTTTGCAAACAACTCCAAACAACGAGCCTGGTAGTCGCCATTTCCGATCTGCAATTTAAGCGCTTTATTTTCCAGAACCAGTTGCGTTTTGTTGCCATCGATCACTTTTCTATGAAAGAGGAAGGCTTGCATTCAATCCGAATTCACGTATAGGTTGTACAGGAAACGGCTGAGGATAAAATAACGATGTCTCTTGTGATTATCGAAATAAATAAGTGATGCAAGAAAGATTTTGCTGTTGCGAGTAAGAATCAACTAAGAATGTGCATTTATATAAGCAGTAATATGTCAGTAAATAGTCGAATAATAAATGCCATAACAAACATTATCAACTGTATCAAGTTACAATCAAAACACGATATGGACAAATGTACTAGATTTCGCAGTTTGCTGCCATTACACAACTCGGTCGATTCAGTCATAAAGAATTTCGATGAGAATAATGTCTTCTGAATTCATTTTTGGATATGTTTCCCCATCCACATTGTATAGTGCGCTTATTATGCATTGCCGAAAAGGTTAGAACTTGTAAGGAAATCTTTCTTTTTCCCACAGAAGTAACCTTCAAGCAACTCTTACATTTGCTTTCCAGCAACTTTATTAACACTCCGGTTTCTCGAAAATAATAACTTTGAGCTGATACTGAAATTTATGAGTTTCTGTTGGATTTTTGTAAGATCCTGATGAGATGTTTATTGGAAGTGCTTCGTTTTTCTTCTCTTATTAGAATGAATATGAGAGTTATTAATATTGACAATTAGACTTATTAGATCTTCATTCTTCAAACATTCTTGCGATATCATCTTGTAGTTGTGGATTTGACTTAGACGTAATCAATTCACTCTTATTTTGGGTTCTTTTGAAACCATTTTGAAATTGTTTTACCGCAAACGGAAAGAAACGCGATAACAGAATTTATAATAAACGCGTTGAAGTCGGTAATAGTATGTACTGAGACATAAAATGTTGCTAACAAGAGACAGGCAAACGCTCCCGTAAACAGAGACTCAGTGAGGAATATCAGCTGTTTAAATGATAGCATCGGAAACTCGGTTGCTGCTGCCTTCAAGCAATAACGTAAAACAAACGACACTGTTTGCTTGTTAAGCATTCAGGCATTCAGCATAACCAAAAGGTTTGATATACCTTGCTTAGCAACCAGCAAATACTATTTTAAGACTTGAACACATTTTCGATGAAAAAATGTTCATTCAAAAGAATCAATGACTAATACTCACTTATAATCCAAACGGTAAATTCACTACTGTTTGCTTATACGCATTCCAGTTATTGAAAATTTTCGGAAATACTCTCATGCATAAGATGTGCACAGCTTATGCTGTTCGCTTGAAATAATGTCCGTACATGCAAGAGGTAAAGCAAATTTATAGATTAGTAGTATCGAATGACTAATTTCCAACTGAGAGCAACGGATATAATTCTAAAAAATTAACGAGAAATTCAGTAACATCCCCGGTCTCTGCATCTTATCAAAAGTGAAACAAATATCTTGGATGCAGAATTAAGATACAGCAATACTGCTATGGTCTATCACCGATAACCTCTCGCAATGCACCGCAAATAAAAGTGCGTTCGTCATCCTAATTTGAGATGACAGTTCAAAACAGTTACAATATACACGAATGCCGTCAACAATCAATCGTCGCACCATTACAAATGATGATTTCCAAGTAAATAAAACACTTTGCCGTATGGACAGCTCATTTTGTTTGTTCATTCGATCTCGAAACTATAGGAGATCAATCCATTCACGACAACACCGCACAATGAAAATCAATGAGGTTTCTCAGAAACCATTCATTGACATCGCACAATATTTTGCAATTTTTCTTTAATGTTTCTTAAACATGATTAAACAAGATGCATATGGAAGTGACAAAGACCTTTCAATGCTAGAATTCCGGCTGATAAATAATTTAAACTGCTCGTATGTCGAAACAGCTCTTGATATCTCACTTACGAAGAAAGTTCATGTGAACATAGTAAAAGAACCAAAAATAAAAAGAGCGGTACGACAGTTTTTGAGAATGGACTGATCACACTGAAAGGGAACCGGACAGGTCGAATAATGTCTGGCGGGACAAGACAAGACTCGAACTGGGTGATCTTTCATAATCGTTAGTCATACAGTTAAAAAACAAAGAGGCAAGGCTGTTCTTCAGGCAAAACAATCGTTAGTTTTGATGTGAAGTCTCTCCTAACATATTCTTGTAGCTCAAAAAAACGGCAATCCTATCTGAAAAGATTGCAACTTTTTATATGGGCAGGTGTTAACGTGTGATCAATGGCTATGAATGATAGTCGTGAAGATGAGAGACTGAAACGAATGATTAGCAAACATGCACTTGATTTGCTCGATCTTTGTTCATGCATTCCCTCTGAGAAGACAACATTTATTACACAAGCTTAGCATAGAGACTATCATGCGATGTGAGCGTCTCCAGAACGAACATCAAAAAGCTGTTTGGACAAAGAACATCGATTAATCGCGCTTTGACCATTATTTAGAAAACCGCGCGAGACTTGTGACTTCCGGCAAACGCATCAATAAAAAAAAACTGGATGTGTGAATACTTTTGAGTGGATTGATTTTAACCGCATGAAAACGCTACATTCGACAATCACACTGTGCGCATTAAGATTTCAAGTTCGGTACTTCTTCTATATTTTATAAAGACAATACAAAACAGCTGTCCACAAAATTCAGTATTAAGTGCTTATGAACAACTGTCCTTTTTTCATTTGTTTTGTATACGAGCGATTCATATCTGGCACCTACGACTGCTGCAACCTCAATTCAAGCAACAAAATAAATGTATAGCTCGGTCATATAAGTCATAGAAATGTAAAATTAAAAATTGATGCGATGTCAAAAGAGAATCATAATTCCATTGTAACTCGAAATTCAATAAATGAAAAAAACACATCATTGTCGTAGGCTTGAAGAAAGGCTGGCTCACACATTCCAAATGTCTCGCGTTTGATCAATCAAAGGTTCAAGCAGAACAACGGTGAACTGAAGCATACGAGCGTGAAGGGTGTCGTGAGTCATGTTATTCACGATAGAGGTGATATCATTCATAATTATTCTTATGAACAAGCTTCTCGTCGCACTGGCCAGATGTTATCTTAACATTTTATCTTCTTCAAAAATGAATTTTGTATTGTGTGATACAGACACCACGTCAAATTATGAATACGCTTCTCCTCGTTCCATCCAGATGTTATCTTAACAATTTATCTCCTTCAAAAATGTATTGAAAATTTTGTATTGTGCAATGTAGACATCACGTCATTCGTCATCTTATCCGTTACGCTAAAATTGCTATAAAAGGGTATTGCTTGCCTTCGATTTTCTCTTTCGTTACTGATCAATCATTCATTGGTTATTGCTTACTCATCGAGTCAATTAATTACTCAGTTTCGATTCGGTTGTTGTTTGCTGTAAATTTGGTGTGTGTAAATCAAAATAAATTTTACGTAGCGGATAGTGGGCTTACGCAAAATACCACTAGACACATAAGTTCAGGCGTGGATTTTCTTAACACATTCACGCACTTCAGTTGAAATATTCATGACGACAACAGCGGAAAGAAACGAAGAATTTCAACTGTGGCACCATTTTATGACAACCACTCCACTGGAAAAGTGGCAGACGTTACCTCTTCGAAGGTAATGTTGGACGGCTAAGAATTCACAGCAGCATCCTATAAGAAACCGTTGATATCAAGTTCGAAAAGAATGATGCTTTGTGGGATTAAAATTTGATATTTTCAGTAAAACTTATTCGAAATTTCCAAGATTTTTTCTGATGTGTTCCCAAACTCGACATACTTTGTGTTGAGAACGTACTTTTTCTTGTATCAAATACTTGCACCGAATCTATGACTGCAATCGACCTCTACTTAATCTCAGTAAGTCGACAATATTTTTGAATCAATCCTATTTCAGTATTGCATTGCAATAATTTGCACAAATATCTAACTTATGAACAATGAAAACGAAGTAAAGCGGATGAGTTAGATTTGTGCAAGGTCGGATTACTGACAAACAGAGAGAAAACGATGGTATCAATGACACTTTTACTGCTATCATCAAGCACACTCCACATCAAACCTATCTTTTTTTTCTGCTCTGAAATTCAACATTTTAAATTTGTTTGAACGCTGCGAAGGAATCCCTCGTCTTGGCCGAACAAGCGAAATGTTTGAATGAAATCGATTGCGCAGGAAATGTTGTTGTATGAAAGTGTTCGGCACAAGAGATTGCTCTATAGTGATACAATGTATGAGCGCTACTGCGCTGGTTGAGATAGCTTTAAGAAAATAGCTATATCTGCCCATAAGAGCAGAATTGCTCAGCAAAGTATGTTTTTCTAAATCTAGAGGTTCTGCTATGTTGTTGGGCGAACCTGAGAGCAGAGTTAGCTTGAAGGTGGTTGTATGATCACTGCCGTGTTATCATTTGAGCAAGTATGAATACCAAAATCAAACGATGATTGTTTAACAAAGCATTTATTATTAACTGAATACATCATCAATTAACTGAGAAGCGTTACACTTCAACAAACTAATGTAAGACAATAGAAATTGATTCATAACAAATGTACGCCTTCATCGAACAACATGATAGCTCATCTATATCGAATGTACTGTTTTTCTGCACTCTTAATCTTTCAATCGTAATTTTTATGCAAAAAAGTAATAACCAACTGGAGGAGTTAAGAAAGGAACGGATTGGCTCAATGCAAACTGACAATAAGATGCACATTCAAATCATTATAAGATCAGTCCACTTGAGGCATAAATATCTGATTTCACCGGATACAGTGCTGTTCGATTAGTTCATCCATACGACTGATCATTTCTCTCGCTTTGAATTCTGTCTATAGTTCACTTATAATGACGGCACTGATCTAACTGAAGTGCCATTGCGATAACTGATTGTGTATTGATGTCCTGTTTGGAATATGAAAGTATGAATAATGACTTTGATTAAAACTGAAAATTCCACGAGGAACAGTTGTGAAGAATAATCGTGAAGTCGGTGTTATGCAACAGCTGCAAAACATCTGATAGAGAAAGGGGCTGAACATGCAAAAATCTAGTCCATCGATAACAAAGAACACTTTCAGGATTCAAACATACAGAAATGTGAAAATATGTGAAAAAGTTTCCGAGATAAATGCATCAAAAATATTCGAAAATCACATTTCGTTGTTAAGGAGTTCGAGTAACGTTCGTATCTTTACATGCTATAGCGTATTTAAGTTCACAGCTCAAATCAAATGCATAAAAAGAATCGCTGATTGTCAAAGGTTTCATTATTACTGTTTTGTTTTCAGCATAAGCAATTAAGGCCACTGATTCAGTCAAGCCATATGTGATACACATCGCCTAATTGGCGTCACCAACTCAAACTGCACAGATCGAAATGCCGATCAGCTATTTTCAGGCAAAAAAATTTCCACGTGAACATGTTCTATCAATTAACTAAATGATCACAAAAAGTTCGTTCAAAGAACTTATCAATGTTATACACTCTTGTTTGCTTCTCTAATTAAATTGCGATTCTGACAAGTTGAGAGCATCTTACTGTGCATTGCTCAGGAGTAAGTGTACTTTTGATGGGAGACACCATTTAGAACTTATTTTACTGATTACTCTCCATTTCGTTCAGATATACTGTGGTCAAAGATATTAGAGTAGAGCAATATCTATTGAAAAACGAACTAGTTCAGATAAAAACTGACAAAAAATAGGAAGAGAAATCACCATGTGTTTGATCCGTGATTGTCTGCACTGTTCTTGAGAAGAAACGTTTTATTTTTGAAAGGATTCCATTCCTGAGAATATTCCTTTCGTGCTCAACAACTTGTTCCATGCACTGACTATGCAAGGAATAGAAGTGATGAGTTGCAATGAGAGAAAAGAGAAATCAGATAGCGCAATTAGTGAATCAGATAATAAGTGATCTCCACACCAGCATCCTACACCTGCTTTTGGGCATTTTAACCACACAGTCAAACATTACGCCAGAAACTTGTCAATTTGCTAAAACAGTTTCGCCTAAAATTTCTAACGTTTGCATTATTTCACGTTATCTTATTGTTGGCTTCGATTTTACGAGATTCATTCATATTCATTTTACTCCGCGATTATAATTTCACTCTTCTATCGATGTTTGGTGTGATTTTTTGATTTATTTATCTGATCATTGTTTGGCATTCTGTTCAGAATCGACAGCAGTCGGTTGAAAATCTTTTGAAGATGATCATGATGTTTTATTCTGAACTGAGTTTCATGGCGGCTAATATCATAATATATATATTACATGGCAGTGGAGAACAAAATAATTGAAATTAAGTTTGTACATCAGTGAAAATCACTTGGGGTCTTCGCAATTCTCGAATGTATTCTCAAAGCATTTTCGTCATTACCTTCCACAAAATTCAGTGTAGACAACCTTTCAAGCACGGACGACCCAGTCTGAAATAAAAGGGTAATTGCACTATATCAGATCATATTACACTCACAAAAAGTAATTCAATGAAAATTTCGGCTCGTTATGTAAACGTTATTATGATATGGCTAAAAGAAATATTTGATGAGTTCTAATTGCACGTAACGGTTTTGGTCAGCTGATAGGATTTATAACCTGATCATCGAAAAAGAATGCTTGACGTTGAGTAATGTGCCGTTGAAACTCATCGTGAGGTGACTGAATAGCTGAATGAGATCTATACGGTAGTCCTATGACATCTAGGCGATTCGACAGGGGTGGAAGTGCTTCGATTCGATTCATACGATTCAGATTAATTGTTTGGTCGATAGCCGAGTTAGCACGATTTGCTGAAAATATTTACCATACAGAACGTCATTCAACCTATCTATTACGTTCTAATCACATCTGCTGGCACCATAATACTTTATTAGACCAATGATGCCTAAGCTCTAGAGCTAAAAAAAAATTTCTTTGGCTTCCTCAGAAGAGAATCACGGCAACATTTGGTACCGGAACTTAGACTAGAAGATAGTATTTTTCGGATTCAGATCGCTACGGAACCGGGGCGGAACAGAAGAAATTTTAGAGCTGGGAACAGGAGCCGAAATTTTCGGAGATGCGGAGCCGAAGCTGGAGCCAAAATTTCAATAACGGCTTAAAAATGCAAAACTGAAGCTGGAGCCGAAATTACCAAAATGTGAAGCTGGAACCGGAGTCGGAAACCGAAAAATGCGGAGTTGAAGCCGGAACTGAAAAGAATGAGAAGGAGGAGCCGGAGCTGGGTCAATTGCTAATGATCCAAGTATGAGTTGTTTCTGTTAATTGGATACTAGTATGCGATACGACGAGAAGTTTAACAAAGCACAAAAATTGGATCACTGATAGTGAACAGAAATACGAAACGTACATCGAGAAGTCGGAGATCTGTCAAAATGCGATCTTTGACGACATGGAGTTGAACTTTTCGGACGTATACAATAGCCGTGTTTATTTTTCGTTTCCCAGTAATCGTTATCATCGTATATGGTTGGTCGATCTGGTATCAAATAGGATGCGTGGAATATTGGTGAACGAGAAATCTGAAAACGAGTATCTGTGTTTGAATGAAAGCATTTGCGATAACATTGTATATTCGATTATTGGCTCAAAAAGCATACCTGTATTGGCGGTTTAGCAGCGATGTTATTTTTGTGCATATAAGAGACTAAATGCCATGGTACACTATGCAGTGCACGCTCTGCGATACGGCGTTTGTTACGCGCTGCACATTCGGTGCTCTCAAAAACAGAGTTCAACTCCAGAAACTGAAACTGATGAGTGCTTGAATTATGCCTTGAAACAAGATCGTACAAAAACATTGATCTAATCATGTTTTGTACTAATCAATTGCTTGCTGTTTCACAAACTCACGTAAATTTGAATGTTTCATATTTACATTTTGATTGCATCTAATATTCCAATTAGAATCGTCTCTGATTCAAATGATAAATGTCTTGAGGTGGCAAAGAAAGTAAGATACAGATGATCATTAATCATACTAGAACAAAGCGCGGATTGTTGAAAGGGAGTGATCGATATGGCGTAAATACGACCGACATTCGGAACACTTTCAAAATTTTGGAACTTGAAAAGGCGATAGAACCTCAACAATCTCTCTTTCTGGTCTATTCCTGGATTCGTGATGATGTTTGCCTGCGAGTCGATAGAAGTCGTCAAAATTGCCATCGCCCAGCCCGATAAATATTACTGATAATGGAGCTTTTGATGCATGAAGGAGAGCTTTGAGTACTTCTTTAAGATCTTCCATTGGTCCGCTTTGAGTGAATATTGCTAGCACGTAATAATGTAAGCCTTTTGCACCCGAATTTATTGCCATTCTTCAACACTCATAATTTCTTTCTTGCATTGAAATAAAATCATCAGAATGCATTGGAATCATCAAAAAATCACAAAATAAACCAGTATTGCAGAGCATTAATCAATACTAAATCTTGTTTGTTACATCCAATTGTGCATCTTTACTTCAATTTTAAATTGGATTGCTCTTTGGGCTCTACAGTCATCCATTATCAGTTAATTCTGAGTGAACGGAAAGTTTCAGCTGATGCGAGATCATTTGAATCAATTGAACAAAATCATCCACACCTACTTGGAAACGTAATGAATTATATGATAGAATGTAGCCTTCTCAATAGGCATAACAATGCGATTAGCCTTTCTGTACGCGTCCAGTACACCGTCAATACCCCGACAACATGGATCCGTATCGAAATTCTGCGATTGTTTTAAATTAAGGCCCATAAGTATCTAGCATCAGTGAGGTTATGATCAACAAAAAATTTCTTTGACTCTCAAGCTTGTCTTTCAATTTTCTCTGTTTTTCGATGATGAATCTATGAATTTTTCGATTCACAGTTTCTTGTGATTAATTCGTTCAAAATTTATCGCAAAAATAGCATGAAATGGTTTGAAATTTTGAGCATCGCCTCGTGAAAATTTAAAATTTTGTTGAAACTCACTAAGCAGAACTCCTGCGATTCATAGAAAGCCGGCGGTATTTTTGCTCCAAAGCCTAGTGCTGGGAATAGTTTGTTTCTAAAAATAACCATTCTCATTCGAATAAGAAGGAACAATGTCATGGAAATGAATTTGATACAGAATTTATTCAAATTTGAAACTATCGAAGTAAAATGAAAAAGTCTAATTCATTATGAAAGCACAGAACGGTATAGCAGCGAATGTATAATAGCGCTAATGAATTCATATGCTGCCACTCACGGACTGTAATCGCGAATAATTTCGCCAATCGCTCTCAGCGCCATCTGAAAATCTGCGTCGACATGCGATTGCGCTTCTTCTGTCAGTGATTTTTTAATCGAGAAGTCATATGCAATGGCAAAATGCAACTGTGTACTGCAAATAGCATTCATTCACCAGCGATTAACATGAAACATTCATTTCTCCTAAATTTACATCAAAAAGCACACTTTTCTTCGATTCACTTCCAGGTTTACAGTCTCTAAAGATGCATCTCACAAATTTCGATGCATAAAATAACTATCCAGCACCTGAAGCTAAACGAATGCATGGTTAAAGCGAATGAGACAGTTAGCTCTGTTCAATGGATGATAAAAAGTTAAAGATCCACTGAAACAACAAATGATAATGATGATCAGCATTCATTTCAAGGAATGATAAAAAAGCAACATTGCGATCAATAGAAACCGAAAATTATTGCAGAAAAATAGCAAATGTGCTCGTAAAATAACTCCACACTGAAGAAAATTATTGAAACCAACCCGCTGGTGATATAATCTAGGAATGAATAAAATGAAACATCTGTGAATTTAGTTAGCTCGAATTTTCCGCTGTTCAGGTAGCCCTTTTTGGTTAGTTTCTTGTGATTAATTACGTTGTAGATATTCTCCGGGCCTGGTCCATATTTCATTTTTGCATAACTCGTTAAGAACGAACCAATAAAACCAATTTTGCCAACCTCATCACGATACATAACACTCACTTCTAATAGCCTGAATATTTCACTTTTTGTTTATGAACGATTCAATATCATTATTGAATAATTTCAATATAAAAACTGTTAACCAGAACACCTGTTTCTGTTATCGGCTATCTGCTTCATTTGTAAGTTGAATACATTCCAGGATGGGCGCGAATGGTTTTTAATGTATTCACTCTGATACAATAACGTACGCTCATCATTGTTTTCCACTCGATGGATCTGAGGTATTCAATTCTTTAAATCTTACTTCTCCTAGAGCTATTGAAGGCTGACACATTATCTTCTGTTGTGATCAAAACAAGCTCAGATGATCGTCACTTATGTCATTTTGACATTCACTGAGCATGATCGCACGCAATAAATGAGTCAATACCGTCTAAACGTGCAACTGCCTTGAATTTCTGACTAGTCGTTTCACTGAAGAAGTTTCATATGATCCTCAATTTTATATATGTATTACTTTTTAGGTGTTCATCAACAACCATTTTCAATGATCTTATTTCAATTCATGCTGAACAAAATCAATCTCTTACCAGAAAATAAACTTCAGTTTCATCAAAGAATTTTCCTCGTCGTTCAAGATTACGACCCACAAATTGCAAAATCACCGGTTCAGCCTTTGATGCCAAATGTCCTGTGATAATGAGTGTTCCTCTATATTCAGCCGATTGCATAGGAAAGGCTTGTGCGCTCAATGCTGACGCAATTGTCGCTTTAGGGCTGAAGCATTGATGTTTCAGTTCAGTAAGAAAAAATTCATTCCGAACGAACAATTTAGTTAATTAGCCCTCAGTGGTAATTTTCTGAACCGTATTTGCATCCTATGCATTCTAAAATTCGTTGCTGTCTATTAACTGGCTTCGATGGCTAACTTTAATGAAAGTTTCTTATCAAACACACAAATGAAATCCCCCACCACTATATCACGCTAATTCTTCGGAATCGTCGCGTATGAACGGCGGCTGTTTTCCATTTCAATAGTAGTTCTTGCACCAGCGATAGAAAACTGATAAAATCGAAACCATATTCATAAGGAAAAAGCATTTCTGATTTTTTTTTCCGATGCACATACTTAAGTTACTCAACACGCTGACAAGAAAGAAAGTGGACTTGAAAAATAGCACTTGCTATCTAAAAGATATCGTCAATTCAAACAACGATTGACTGAAGTTAGTTACCTGATCACTTTACATAGTTGTGCTCCAAACGCTCCAATCAACTCATCGAGTTTGAATATTGCGCTGCCAACAATGTTTCCAGAAGTAATCGAACTTGATGATCGGCTCGAAAAGTTGCGTCTAAAATTTATCGAATCTTAATTTCATGTATTTCAGTCGAATCGCTGCATTTCTTGTTGAGAACAGAACGGTTCGTGAAGAGAAACGATGTTTTCCTCTCATTTCCTGACGAACAATTTGCGACATTTTGTGGGAATAAGGTCACTCTACTTGCTACCACAGATAAAAAGATGGCGTGACGTTGAATGAGAGTAGTAATATTACATTTCAATTTTGATCAACTGCGTTCGTTCGAAAACATAGTCAACAGCGAACAGTGTCACAAATTCGGCGTGTCCTCCGTAAGCAATTTGTGGCTCACTTGCTGAATACTGTAAAAAATATTAAGATAATTGTGTTGAAAAAGACATCTGTGCAAATAAGTCAATTTAAGATAACATGTTTCTAAACCAAAATTCATCAAAACTTCAATACCAATTTCCAATCCACCATTGTTGTATGTTTAGCAGTAAGCATGACTCTAATAGATGCTTATCCTGAGTCAGAAACATTGAAGTTAGCCATAACAACTCACCAATTTCCACTTCTTTTCATCCCCGTCATCGTTTTCGTACAGTATACAGATGAGGTTTTCATTTTCAATCGAGAATTCCGGAATCAAATTCCTAGAAATGCGTTTCTTTCCAACAGTGATTTATCCATTCAACTCAATTTCATAGCAAATCGAATTCTGCCAACAAGGGAACGGTTAAAAGATAATTTCAGTTCCAGAAAAGTATTGAAAACTTGGTTTAAAGTTTTCAATACTTGAAGTGGATCATGAGCGATTTTCTTAGATCGACAAGCAATGACTAGGTACTATGTGGCTCAAGATTTGTCATTGTTTCGTAATTGGTTGATTCAACGAATATATCAATGGGCGTAACAGTAGGAATAAAACAGGGAAAAGCTACAATTTTTGGTGGTCGCTGAAAGAGCGACAGTGAATATTCTAAAGTGACAAAACACTACCTTATTTCAACACTTAATTCAATGTGATCCGTATAATAGCGTTGATGACGCCTGTCATGCACAACCGAATCGCTTGCTGAACGATTGCGCCTAAAAGATTTATTTCATTATTTGTGTGTTTCGAATTCATTGCCAACGTCTTTGCAAGTAGAGTATCCTCAATCTTTCTTTATTCCTCATGTTTGGTTCGTTGTCCGTTTGAATGATGCCCAATGAGCAATTCTTGCCAATCATTAATTTATCCTCAGCATACACTCACTATGACAAACGACAATCATTGCTCAGGGACTCCGAACGTCTCGTTTTTTTTCGTCTTATATTCCAAATAAACTAGCACCAAATACTACTCCACTGGTTTTACATTCATTTTATATGACAGTATATTGATTCGTGCTGATCACAATTTATTTCTCATGTGATAATTGATGAACATGCAATAAGATTAGAGAAATGTTTTAGAAGTATACATAAAGGCACACCGATCATTACGATCACGGCTTAGATTCATCATTGGTACTGCGATCGGAGGGATAATTATAAGGTGAATTTTAATTGAACAGAGACAACGTTGTTGACAGATGTTAGAAACATATATTTTCAGAAGATGCTTAAACGAGTGAATGTGCAGGATTATTCATAATGTAATAGTAGGTGGATGATGCTAGGATGCATCTTCACTCTATCATGCTCTTTCCGCCATTGAGCGTCGTTAGAGCATATATACTTCTATTCCACTCTTGAAGTTATTGCATGATAATTTGCCATAACTTCTCCATCGATAGAGCCTCGAAAGATAAAAGGAGTTTGCATCGCTGATCATTCGCGAAAAAGTTGTTGTTGACATCGTTTAACCATGTTAGATTTACGTTATCTCAATATAATATAAGAAATCGCTATTCAGTTGAATAGTGATTTCTCATATTGAGATAGAATACACGTATCATTATCAACAATGATCAATAAATACGAAAAAGTTCAAGATAGACTTTCAAATTTACAAGAGAACTGTGCTTGTGATGGAAAAAATAGATCAGACATATCATTTATGTATTATACATACATTTCTCACTGTCTGAACGTCTTCACGATCTTGTGATTACGAACCTTTTGAAGCAGAACGTAACTGTTCATGACTGTAAATGAAGAGAATGATTCCTTACTTAGTCAATTTCCCAACATAAGGCATTTAAACCTGTTTAGTGATTCCTTCAAACAGTCTCGCATCGTTTCAGTAACTCAGAGACGGCGAGATATATATCGTACCAAATAAACTGAATAAACTTCGTTCATCCAAGGATTATTATCGAAACTGAGTCCTCTTTTTTTCTTTATGCCTTTCAACAACGACATCGAAATTCATCAAAGATTTTTGATCAGCGCGGAATCGAACTCATGCCCTCTGAGCAAATCAGATCCTCAGAGCCCAGCGTCACAACAGTACACCATCTGCCGGCTGCACAACCATATCATTCTTAGTTACGTATTACCTTCTTTCAATTTACATATTTAATTCACATCATTTTAGTTTTGTATGCTGGCTTTTCGCAGTAAGGATTATCTATCAATTTTATGAAGGCGCTCAGGGTTTCAGAAGTTTTTTATACCGCAGAAAATTTAATTAGTCTTATTTACTTGTATGAACAGACCATTCTTTAAGATAAGATGCTTTCGTTTCATCGTTGTTCTTTTTTCATTTTGGACAAAGAAAATCTTTCAAAACTAAGAAATATTCGCAAGGCAAATAAGATGACAGTAAACAAAAGGATTTAAAATGTCAAAAACAAAACTGATGAACTCTATAATGCAGCGTCGAGAATCGTAAATAAATTGAGCAAAGGTGCTCAAGAAAGTATAATAGCATCTTGAATAGAGTGCGATTTAATGGAATCGTCTAGTACTCGAGAGTGGAATTTGTTTTGCTTTTACGATGACAAACAATATGGAACGGATCGCTAAGCTTCGCAAGTCATCGTTAAGCATCAAACGAAACCCAAATTTGTATTAGTAAAACTAAAATTTATTTCCGAATTCATTTTCACATATCCATCATCGTTTCGAAACTCAGAATATCTTTGAGTGGAACAATTGACAGTACGAATAGTGCAACTTCATTAGCATACATTCAACAATCATGCAAATGTATCAGTCACACCAAGAAGACTTCTTCTGAAGAAGTGAGCAAAAGCGTTGACGTACGTGTCCAATGAAATTTCACTCTGCCTTCTTCAGTTAGAGCCGCGATAAGTTGGTTGTGTATTTTTTCTTTGTCAAACACATCTCTAGTGAGTTGCTTGAGGATATTATTCAAATATTTCGTTATTTACATTGTATAGCATATCCGAACTTCCATTCATTTACCCATGGGGCGTGCAGCAACGGCAGCAGTAGCAGCCTTTCTTCGACCATCGATTATGCAGTCGGTTTTGTGCGACAAGTGTCTTGGGATAGATAGACTGATGATGCATCATGAAAGGATTGTCCAAAGCTGACTTGATTGCTCGGTGAGTGCAAGAAGAAAAGCTTTAATTGTGTTAATTCTCTTTTGAGCAAAACATCTGTACGACGTTTCCGTGCGAAACGAATAAATTTTCAGGCACAACCCTCGTAAAAGTCAACTATGAATTCATGTGCTCAGTACAGACTTAATTTCAAATCGTCGGCCGTCAATCATGTTTTTCATCGCACTCGTTTACATGCTCTGCTAGATGAATCCTTCTCAATTCGTCAAAATTTGTTGCTGTGCAAAACTGTTGATCAAAGTTCAGTGGAATTATTACCAAAAATTCTCCTACTTTGATCAAAGTTCAGTGGAAAAAAGGAGCGTGAAATCGGCATCTTACAGTCGAACAAACGAATTTTTGCCTGAGAGTCAAAAATTTTTGCAGAATTATGAGGAATACTTGTTCCCAAGTTATCTTTATAAATGAATAATTCAGCACGTATATCAGAGATACAAACTTATTTATGAAACGACTAGTAAGCAAAGATATTGGCAAATTTAATAAAAATCTTCACACATACTTCCAATATCGATGAAATTCAACAAAATTGCCTTCGATAGCTGTAAAATGTTTCACTTAGATTGATTTCTTTCATCATTACTGCTTCTATCATTCCAGAATTTCATCTTTCTAGAGCAAACTTGGAATAAACAGCCCATTGATCTTCTTTATGAACTAATTGTGAACATCGATTCGACAAAGTTTTTGACAATATTTATTTCTCGTTCGGTGATCGTATTTCAAACTTGTTAGAACACTTATTAAGCACGATATTAATTCTTTAAACTAGCAGGTAAGTTTTGATATTCCCATCATTTCAAAATAATCGGCATTTCGAATTCGCAGAATTTGGATTATGTCAACCGATGCGAGTTGTTTGTTGTCAAGGAAAAGTGCATATTCATGAACAGGTAAGTTAAGTTTTGATGCTTTAGGTATTGAATTGAATGAATGTGAAGGTAAGAAATGCACTCATCAAATGAGATATTCATTTGAATAAAACTGTTTAAGAATTCAGAATGTAATTCAACAATTTTGTCTCACAGACTAAATAATAATTTAAGAATTCAATGTCTCACAGCACAAGACTAAATAATTGAATCACAAATGAGAATAAACATTTGTCAGTTGATATGCTCATTTATATGCAAACAAATGCGATGCGTACATTCCTTCCCAACGTCATCACCTTCAGCGGCAATAAAAATTTCGCAGTCGTATTCTTGAGTTATCGTAAACCAGTGAGGATGGAATTGCAGTGAGAAGCACTGATGTGGTGATATGCTTGGAGTACAAATAACGTACCTTGGGAGGAAGGGTGATAAGAGGTTGCTGGTTTTGGTGGAACGACGACGCATTGCAAGAACACGTCCACCAATTTGAGCAATGTTTGTCATTCTAACGTTTCAGTGTTTTCTTCTTCGATTCAGTTCAATTATCACATCTGAAAGTGTTGCGCAAAGATATTCATGAAACACTTCTTAATAATTGACGCACATTTTATTCTTTCATGCACACTGCTAAATGTCATTCGTGCACAGATACTGACTACAAATAATCAAACCATGGCAAATCAACAGCCCATTCATAGTTACTTATTGCCCATCGAAAAAAACTGAGTGAAAGTAATGGTTTGGACTGATGCGATTTTCGATGTTGTCAGCTTAGTGATTGTGCCTTGTTCGAACGGAAGCAATCAATTCAACTGGAATTCATGGTTTTTAGCCACATACAATTCGATAACGATGCGAAACCTGCTCCAGCGAAACATCAGCAAAACCCAAAGACAATACGATTGACTTGTACACATCAAAATGAACTTTTTGAAACGCATGTAATACTACCGAATGGATTCCATTGGTAATAAAATTGAGGTAGCTGTTGGATGAATAGCGTAAAAGATCGAAGTTGCGACATTTCCACAGATTCTCCTTTACGGGAAATGGATGACCTCATTTGTACAATGAAGAAATTCGTATTCATATTTCATAAACAAACACCTACTGTCCTTTACACCTGTTCGGTCTGTGCATAAGCTATAATACTTGCTGCTGTTTTTGGTTCTCAGAGAATTTGAACTGTTTTCAGTGTTGTTCATGTTCTAGAGTGTTTTTTTGCTCGAAAACAAATGAAAATGATAGACAAATGCGCATGCAGACGAATCCTGCCCATTATTTAAGTAATAAACATCAGAAATTCGGTTGAGATTCCTTCCCAGTGATTCTCAAATACTGAAATCAAATATTCGATAAATATGCTTGTAAATGATGCGTATGTAATTCTTAAAGTACAAGTCAAGTGTCTGAGCTACTGACTGCACATGACAATTGCTCGTTCGAAGGACTGACTCCTTGAATATTCAAATGAATAGTATGGTTGAACGTTCAAATGAAATCGCGAAACATCATCGAGAAATTGCAACAATCATACAAAGCGTGAAAGTAAAATAACGACCAGCCATAAAATTGTATATCAAAAAAGAAACGATAATTTATTACTTGATAAACTTTATTAAAGTAGCAATTTCAAAATTTAAAAGAGTCAATAATTCGTGTCAATTATCTTGCAGAAACAGCACACCAGACAGCAATTCTG